ATAAATGATACCGTGCAATCAGTCGACCTTATCGCCTGAAGAAGACTAGCAGTAAGCAGTCGAAACGTCGCGATCTACATCTAAAGTGACTACATCGTGCGACAAACGATAATACACTTTATTATTACAAACACCATGATTCAATCGTTTTTTTTAGATATACTAATTTTTCAAATTTTGGTGCTGAGAAGTTGTTGCATGCCAAGTGCAGCTTGAGCCCAGAACAAAGGACATGAAAAATTCATCTTGAAAACGGGGCTTATTTTTAACCTGCCGTTTTGGAAATATGGTACTTTTAGGACAGCAGGCTTTCTTGCTAACAACATCAAAAAGAATATAAAACTAACTTAATAAGTAAACACGTAAATCATTAAAATAGCAGTTGCACATATCTAAGAACCTCCTCATGCAGTACTTTTTTAAGCAACAGACCACGCGTTTTTATGGTTTATCATGCCTCTAAACCATAGAAGCTTGTGGTCTATTGCTTTTACATAATTATTCAGAAGACACACGAAATTTCCATGAGTTTACTGGCACAATAAACCATAGCTGATTGACCAATCAGAGCGCGCGCATTCATTAGATTATTATATAAAACAGCTCAAACCTAAAGGTCTAGTTGGTGTAGAAGGTGCTAAGCGGCATTAATGAGTTTTGCAGTAGAGGTCGAAAATGGTTTTCGAAACAGTTTTGTATTGCCCCGTCGAGAAGCAGTTTGCTAACACAGCTAAAAAATTCACTTTTTAATTTCTCGGCTGCAAGTTTCAGAAGCCTTGTAGAGTCTGGAAATTATTTTCTCGCACTATTGTATCAGTAACTGTTTCAGCAACTTCAGCATATTTGTTTGTCCCTTGCACAGTATACATGTATGTGTTAAGGTAAAATTTGTTGCCTTTGCAAGGGATTGAAATGAAGTTTGCTCATTGTAGCAGAGACAACTCCTATCATTCTCAGCTTAACATTTTTTAAATGCGCAATACTGGTCGCCATTGTCAATGATAGCTCAGATCCAGTTGACGCTGTCGTGCATCCAAGTCAGTTGTTCGGTTGATGGAGAAAGGATAAATTATGCAGCAAAGGGTGTTTTGAACGTATCGTTAGAGAACGCCGGATGACGCGGAAAAGTGCAATTATAAGAAGAAGGACAAGCAGGCGTTATGTGCAAATTTATGTATCTTATTTAAAATATATATTCTTGTAATGTAAAAAGCTTGTAATTATCATTTACTATTTACTATTAAAACGTGTACGCGTTTAAGCTCGTAGTGTAGTCCCATCTATAAACAAGGCTGAAAAAATTAATAAACCTGAAGACATTTTTTACAACATGGTGTCACTTAACACGCGACTTGGAGGCGGTAAACGATTCTGCTTAAATATTTCAATTCAAATCCTTTCCGCTTTGGGGAAGTGATCAGTTAACGAATTTATGATTATACCTACAACTAATTTCAAAAGACCAATTAGTACTAAGTTGCTTCCACATATTCACATAGCCAATGTGAATCCAAAATGAAGAATGCATTTGGAGTTAATTCTGGTTAAGCAATAATCCAACCACAGGCCATAATGAGTGAATGTCCTTTGATGTAAGGCTAATGCCAAGTAATGGAGTCCATTAATTTTGAATGTGGACCAGCTTGTTAGTTTTATTTGAGTCGATAAAAAAGCTGACCGTATAGCAAAATTTGGACCCCTAAGGAAACCAATCATAATTCTCATTTTCATCGCGGAACACTTCAGCAATATAATAATTCGGAAAAATAACAGATTACAATGGAAAAAAAAGATGAAGTGGTATAAAATGATGCATAATTTATAAAATTGCTAAATAATCTATATATAAATGTCAACATGTTATGTTGCTTAATTATCAAAGTTTGTCACTGAAAACATACGGAGAAAGAGCATTTGCAGTAGAAATACCTAGACTATGAATACCATTACGTTCAACATGAGGACTAATAATTCCATTCATATTAAAAATAATAATAAGAAGAATAAAATAAAATAATAAGCAAATCATTTGAAATCCTATCTTTTTAAGATACATTTCTTTTAATTTTTCTTGAGACTTTGTTATTCAAATTTTTAAATATAAGCGCTTTTAATCTTTAAAGTTAATCCATTAAATTAAAAAAACAAAACACTTGAAATCATGTCTTTTTAAAAGCGCCTTTTAACATCCATTTCTTTTAATATTTCTTGAGGACGTTTTAATTTACATTTTAATCCTAAACACTTTTAACTATGTTAACTCATTTTTATTGTGATGCGCCTTCGGCAATTTGTAGACTGGGGCTGTAGAAGTGTAATTGTTGTTATCACGTTTTCGGGTATTTATTCGGGGCCTATGCCGAGCCCAAGAAACAAGCCTCGACGCTAATAGCAGTGCAGGAAGCCTGCACGAGAAGTTCGTATTTTTTTCATAATTTGAAGTGGAAAGTACAACTCAGTGTTGCATTGGCTAAACAACCATGGCTGCTGGTGGCACTCTCCTGGTCATTCTTGTTCTGACGTCAGTGAATGTAATGCTTGCTAAGAGGCCGAACTCCCCAAATCATCGTAAGACTTTAAATATCCTTCTTAAACAGAGCGAATTTCTTCGTAGTTTTCAGGTAGTTCACTATTGGTATGGTATTTCTATACATGAAGAGCACTATATTGTCGCTATTGAATGTTCTTGAAAATTCGTAAAATCGCGATTGAAGCATGGATTGTATATTTTTCTTGACTTGGAATCGGCTTTTTTGAGTTTATTTTTTAAGAGTAATAGTCCGCAAGAGAGAATTGGATCTTATCAGTTTCAAACATATTTTATTACTTGATTTTCCCACAACAAATATAGTGAACAATGAGAAATGACAATTATCTACTTTAACTTTCATGTAATTTTACCAAAGTATTCTCCCAGTCTGGCTCGCTGAACGTTTTAGCATTTATACGAGATGTATTTCCCGTGTTGAATTCTTTACCAAAAAGCATTCCTTGAATTCTACACGGTACACACGAAATAACGTATGGAATAAAAAGTCGACGTTTTTTAATTTACTTTAGCTGTCATGTAGCATAGACTCTAGCGAGTATGATCAAAAGGAACTTTTTTGGCAGGGATATTCAACTGTCAGTTAATATTGTCCAGAAGTATTGCAAAAAAACAAATGTCAATCAAGCACCCTATTTTAAATTTTTATCATCAAAAGAGGTATCTAGTAAGGTAATATATATGTATTTTTTCAGTTTACTTAAGAAAAAATCTATTAAGGTAATATTATTTAACAGCGCCCGTTTTAGGTTTTCATGACGACGAGTACAATAAGATTGTATAGGAAGGCAAGTTTTTTTTGTTCCTGATAAAATGTTTCTTCATGGAAGGGACAAAATATAACGAGCTTTTAAATCAATCAATCAATCAATCAATCAGTCAGTCTGTCATTCAATTAATCAATCAATTTGTTGTTGATATACCTTATCACGGTTTTCGATGCCATCTTGACGAGTAGGCAAAGCGGTCAGAAATTACAGTGTTTGTATGGGAATCCGTTGTCAAATAACTTTTTCCAAACTTGAATTTTACACAATTTGTGAATTTCAAAGTTAAAATACTAGGTAGAAGATCTTATTCGCCAAGTTTGAAGGATTTAGCTCGGCTAGAAGACGCTCGGCTAATTTTTCTAATTTTCCATACATTTGTCAGTAAATTTGGCTGAGTGGCGCGGTTCGCGCGAAAAAAAAATTACAAGCAAATGTATGGAAAATTAGAAAAAATTAACTGCACGTCTTCTGGCAAAGCTACTGGTTCTGGATTAAACATATTTTAACTTTGTCATTCGGTAATTAAGAGCACACTTTGATCTTCTGGGGTACAATTGTAGGAGATTAACTTTTCTTGAATAATGACAACACCTGATATCAAAACAATCCGTACTTATACCTGAATTTATTCTTCTTTGTTAGTATTAATCTGCGAGAACGCTACGGGAAATTTCTCTAAATGTGAGAACTATCCAGGTATAATCAACATCATGAATGTGGAATTTAAAGAGGAAAATGAAGATTACTGCGACAATCAACCCAGCCGAAACAGAAGTAAGTGCTTCGCCTCAGAACGTGACGAACAAAAACTGACATCCATTCTCGGAAAAATATGCGATGGCAAGCGGAAGTGCAAAGTCCACTTGTCACATGGAGTTTACGAAGGCATGGATCTTCCCTGCCGAGACCTGAACATTAGGATACGCATTGGGATATTCTATGACTGCATATACTGTAAGTTAGTATGTGTTCCCTCTATATGCAAAGTCTACGCTTTTAAGCTGAACCAAAGTCAAGAAGATGATATAAGATAACATAATTATTTTATAGCAGGAGTTTAGTTTCTTTTAACATGCGTCCTTATTGGTTGCATTATGGTTATGTTTCAATGGCTAAATCTGAACGTCACCCTGCGGGTGAAAATTTTGCAATAGTCACCAGCTCTCTTACTAACAAGAGGTTACTTTGACTCGAAGGTAATTCTTGCCTAATTACTTTACACTAAACTCTAGCTATGTAACAAAACACTGAATTACTGTTCCATTGGGAATCCGTCAGTTTTGTTTTCACTAAAATTTTCATATTTTACGAGACGAAGCGGAGTGGATTCTTGGGAAAACAAAAACATAACTGTTTCCCAAGGGGCTAGTTGTTAAGAGGGAGTATGACCTTAAATATGGGCATTAAGTAGACGCGCAGATAACTTAAAAAAATTTGCTGCGCATTCGAAAGTGGGAGACAGCACAATTTAATTAACCGTAGAAATGTGAGTTGCTTTATGAAGTTCACGTTGTTTTTATACGCGAAACCACAGGCAGTAAAATACTTAACAAGGTTGATTATTTCCGAAAAAGTCGGATGTTCTAGCTAAAGAAGCAAAATTTTTGTAACTTGGAAACTTATATTTTTGTACAAAACATAACTTTCAGCCCCCAAACCTTCCGGGTCGCCTTACAAGCCAACTCACTCAACAGCAGAACCATCTACCACGGAAATCTCAACTACTTCCTTGTCAACGCTCCCCAGTTCTACCTTAACCAGTGCCACGGTAGAAGTGTCCACGGATGCGAGTAGGGGGACCTACGCTGGCGAAACCACGACAATACAAGTATCAAACACAACAAATGTATGGAAACGACGGCGTCCCAGAAGCTGTAACTTATCCGAAGAGATTGATGGTACCTCGGTAACTCAGCTCAGTTCCGAGGGCAATCTTCAGTTTCCCATGCCTTGCGGCACAGGCTCTTTACTTGTTTATATTTATTCCTTGATGCTCACGCTTGTTTCATGACCTGGCGTGGCACCACTATATGATTTTCGCGCACAGTAAGGATGAGCAGAAATAGTGTCTACATTTGTTCATAAGTATCCTCAAGGAATTACAATTTGTTTGAATCTAAAAAAAATATTGCTCTGACTGACTAAAATCCTTCTGGCGGGAAAATTACAAAATATATTTTAAAGAATGAATAAAAACTAGATAAATAGAAAGCTGAAAAATATTTTGACGCTTATCTAAAAAGCTAAAATTAATCTCACGGGAACTTTGTTAAAGCCTAAATTTTCGGCCAAGTGTTGCCTTGAGGTAGAAACTGTAGATTATGCAAATGACTCTGCTTTAAATTCTGGCGATGGGAACAGAAAGTTGATAAAAAATTAGTCTTTAACAATTATTTTTCTTAATTTTATTGTTTGAGATCAGTTTTAAAATAGTTTACAATTCGAAACAAATAGAAGTTATTTTGCGAGGATGCCTTGAATATAACGTTTTCGCAAGTATAGCGACGTACTCTAAATTTTATAATTCTAAACGAAGCCGCGATGTAGCACTGTTATGGAAAATACTTAGTTTTCATTGCAGCGAGAAATAGGTAGTGAGGTAAAGCACAAATCCCTGGAAGTAGTCGTTTTTCTTATCAGCGCAGTAACGGATTACTGCTTTCACCTATGTTAAAGTAAAGATGTTTAAAATTCACCAAAGTGTAATTCAAAACCTGGATTGCCTTTTCAGCGTTCATCTCAAGGACCTCTCCTTTTTTCTTTTATGTCTCTGTGTTCAGCTACGCCTATGGCTATGATTATTGTTTGGATAAGTTCGTTTTTTAATAGTAGATCAAGAACTGTACTCTGATAGAGAGTGGTGTCCTTCGTTATCCTAGCTCGCTTACCATAGTCACTGATCAGGCAAGTAATAAAATGCTTGTGTTGTGACATGTGGCTTACTAAAAAATATGCTGTTATGCAACCCAAAATAATGTACCAATGCTCTCTCTACTTTTTCCACGATGTTGCAGCACAGATTTCTCGCTCTTTTTCCCAAAGATACTACATGTAAGGTTTTTCGAAAGGTGGAGGCCCGGCGAAAAACTTGAGTTCAAAATTTTGTGGCTAACAGGAATAATCTTCAGCATCACCCGAAGAATTATTAGCGTTTTCCATATTTTAGGAAAAGAAAAATAGGAATTATGTTTTAAAAGTGTCAACATCCATGAAAAAAATTGCTGTTTGACTTAGAAAAAATACCAATAGACAAACTGTCGTCAGCGTGCAATAACTGTTACCAGCTTGAAGCCGGGTTTTCACTAAGACATAAGCATAAGCATGAGCATCACGGCAGTGAGGACGGCCACAGCACAACACAAGCACACGGTAGTGAGTACATGGATAACACAAGCACAAGCAGAACAAAAAGTTTTGTTATTCTTGTGCTTGTACTTGTGTTTGTGTCAAGTGAGAACGCTCTTCTATAAGATAACTATAAGCGGAAGCGGTAGTCCGCCATCTTGTTTTACTGTATCGAGGAGGCATGGAGCCGAAGATGAGGCAATTATCCCGCGCATGCTGACGTGCGTATGCTTGTGTTGTGGGCGTCTTCACTACCGTCATGCTTCCGTTTGCACTTGTGTTCGTGTATTAAATGAAACCAGGCTTAACATTTAATTGGTATTGGATACTTTTTAAGAGTACACATGTTGACATGTGTGCAAATGCAAACATTATAAACATTATGATAAAAAAATACATAATTATACCAACAAACTCGATCTCACAGTCACAAGGTTTTCTTACGTTTCTGTCAAATTCAACAGTCCGTTCGTTGCCAATATGTGTTTAACAAACCAAGTGTAAAAAAATAGACAATTACTGGAAAGGTGAAATCCTTTACTAATTTACACAGGGTTATAATAAACACACACCTTCATAGTTAACAGTAAGAGTTTAAAAACGTATTACAGCTAACGATAACCCTTAAAAAGTTCAAGTTGTTGAACTTGTTGGGCAAGGAACATTTTGAGTGACTATTCAACAGCAATCATGGCATTTATTAGCCTTGACTTACCCGAATGTCCGATGTTGATTGTTATAAGTTATGGACGACTATGTTATGAAGTCTTGAATACGCGCTTATGGAGAAAGAAAGATAGCGTGCAAGTTCTTGCATATTTCTGGGAGAGGTTTTCATAATGGTATTATAAGTTACATAGGGTTCCTTATTAACCGCACAAGGACGCTCTTTAAATGGCACTTACTGTGATAAGGTTACCGGGATGCTGTGTGACATTAAAACAACGCTTCAAGTCAACTTAGAATCAACAAAACAACAGCATCTGGTGTCTTTCTCACGAAGGTTGTTTATGTTTTGTACGCTTGACCAAAATCAGTTTGTATTAAGAAGAAAAATTAAAATATAAATACAAAAAAAAGTAACAACAAGGGCAACAGCGTGGTTCTCGATTGGTGGAGCATAATCCAGTTAATGGAGTTTATGATTGTTTAGGATTTATTGGATGAACACGAAGACACTTGTTTATGGTAAAACTCAATTTTGTTTTCATCAAATTAGCGCCTGTGTCGCGATATGTAACTCTTAGGCGAGATCTCTCCACGGATTGTATGTCGTCAATTTGTTAGTCTTTGTTTTGATCTCAAAATCGACGGAACTTTGGAAAGCCTCCATATAGTTTAGTGTCTTTATAATAATTTATTCAAAATCCATCCATTTTAATTACGCGGAAATCTCAAAGTAACACTTAGAACTGAGAATAAATTGCTTACAGTCCGTTCTCAAGCAGTTAAAGCTATTTTCTTGGGAAGCATACACCCAACACTCGGTTCTTGGTTGGACCTATAAACATACATGTTTTATTCAAGATACAAAAAAAAAAGAGAAATAATACAAGAGATGGATATAATATACACCAATAAAGGTCAAGAACTACAGAAGGTATCTTGAAAGAAAAGTTAAGAGGTCAACCCCATGTAAAACTCCGTACAAAATAACTATAAAGGAATTAAGATCCTTTATTAAACATTCAAATCCAATTTAAGCTTGGATTAAGATAACTGAAGGCTGTCAGCTTCCAGAATGTCTCTTGTAGACGTGGTAAACTTTGAGTTAAAGTATAGTTTAGAACACTCAACTTCCGTTCTAATACGTGTTTTGTTTTGAATTCCGGCTTAAGATTCAGATTTGCAATATTCTTGAAAGGTGCAAGTTGATAAGAAGGTAGAACTTTTATTCGCCGCGGAGTGAATTAGAGACGGAGCTAAAATGTACAGTGTCCGCTAAAATTCCCAGCTGTAGTACTGTCATTCCATGAAAATGCAAAATCATTGCACGGAGGCGATTGACAGTCCAAAAGTTACCGAAGAATGAACAATAATCCTTCGAATAAACTCGATAGGAAGGAAAGATCACTTTTTAGGGATTAATTTTGGCAGATGACGATAAATTTCTTTGTCTGCTGTCGCAGAAAAGTCTAAATTGTTGACACAGATTTAAGACTGCCACCGATTTTAATATATAATTCATAAAGAGTTAATTGGATGCGTCAATTTGAATTTCATGACCGGAAAAACGCATGAAGGGATGCTAATAAGAACAGTAATGCGACTTTGGATTCGGTGCCATCCGTTTCTTGCCAGCTCGGTTGCTTTTGCGCAAATTTAAACGCGGTAGAGGCAAAACGTGACTAAAAGAAATTTCTGCTCCACAGCGAGACTACGTCCGATAACCACTGCCAAAAAATTATGTTTGACTGGCGACGTTGCAGTTGGATTTTCTTGATAACCGTTACGTTTACCGTCGGTGGAATTCGTGCTTCGAGAGCAGGTATGTTCGATGTTGTGCGAATCATTGAAGAGATAAAATACCCGATATTAGAACCACTGAGGTACTGTTAATCGTTTCACCTGATAAAGTTCTGTAAGAATGCTCAAAATCGTGTGTTATCTGTGACGCCTTGAGAATTTCTTTAAAGTCTTTTCATGTTAGATAAGGAATTGTAAATATTTACACCAAGCAAATTTAGGAGAAAGCGGTTGTATTGGACTTTGTTCCTACAAAATTGCAGCTCGATGTTTTAGATCGTGGTTAATAAATCGATCAAAGAAAATTCAGTTGCAGCGCTGATAGATGTAACCAGTTACTTTTTCCCCTCAAAATCCTTGAAAAGATATATTTATTGGTAACAGGGAGAGTGTCATTTTTCAAATTCATTTTCCTTTGATGTGTCAATAACCTTGTTTTGATTTCGGATAGACAGACATTTCATTGTAATATTATCTGATGTGTTTTACTCCGACGCTACATGTACCTTATAAAGTTGACAATATGTCTTTCCTTTAATCTTACCGACGAAATATTTCAACAACTTAATGAGCCGCTCAATCTGCAGAATGAGCTTCAAAATTTTATTCAGGACTTGTTCAAAAAACTTGTTCAAAAGGCTCCTAGCAGTTTCTTACTTAAGGATAGGATCTTACTGATAAAATAAATACCATGGTTAAATCTAGGAGATTTTCTTAGGATGGAAGATGGTTAGGTGTAAATCAGTGCTAAAACTTTATCAAAGCTAAATGACGACAAAACTTCGAATCCTATTAATTTTTGATGATACCGGGAAGTTTTTTTAAGGCAAGGTTTTTACACTACCCAAAAATACTTATTACTGCACAAACCAATATATCATTATAAACAAAAGAGAAAACTTTTTTTCTTCAAATCCTTAGAAAGAGAGCGTAATTACAGCGTTATACCTCAGTCAAAACAATAAACTAATTTAACGGTTAAGTTTAAAGCTGTGTACCACAAAAGAGATTAAGCACATTATTTTTAAAGTGTTTGGAAGAGCAAAATCCTTTTGTGGTTGCCGAGTAGACAAGTAGTAAAATGCTTATACCGTGACATGTGGCTTACTAAAAAAATCAAATAGCTCGTTGTTATGTAACCCAGAGCTAGGGATGCAATGATGTCCTGATGCTCTGTTATTTTTAAACTTTTTTCACGTCGCAGCACAGATTTCCCACTCATTTACCCAACGATGCTATAATAATACTATGTAAGGTCGATTTGGAAAGTCTTAAGTCGAGAAATTTCTCCCGGAGGTTAGTGTAGTTTGTTCGAGCGTTGTTTTGTTCACATTGGGGCTTAATGGTCTTGATGGTCACGGAATACATTGTTTGGGTCTGATGCAAAGAACGATGCATGCCAAACGCAAAATGAGGGAGATTTTCCGAGGATTAGACGTAGACTAATTCTATATATTTTTGTCCTCAACATCATCGCAATTGTAAGTCGCTAGTTAATACTCTTCAACTTTCCGTTCATAATCAGATTGTTGTTATTCAATCATATTATAGAACATTTAATGAAGTGTTTGTTGTTTCGCTTTACCTCCTCCGAGGAACCTTAGACTATAAAGATTTCATATATTGTTTTGTAACCGCTCTCGTGAATAAATTTATCCATACGCAGTTTCAGCCTGCGTACCCTTCTTCAAACTACTGAGACCTCAATGAGAGCTTGGGCTACTTAATTACGTCATGCATTGGTGCAAAATAGGCCCGGCAGAGAGATGGTCCTCACGACTGACACGATAACTGAATTTTGACTGACATGCCAGATTTAAATATGACTGTTAGAGAAAATTGTTTCAATAAAAAACTGTTTCCAGTAGAATGGTACACCCTGTGCGCAGCTTAAACAGTTAACAATTGAAATTAGCTAATGTATTTGAATAGCCGGTGTTTTTATCTCTTTAAACTGAAGCCAGTTTGGGGGATTAATTACTATCTTTTACTGTAATGTAACACTCGGAAATTTGGAGTATGGAAACCTTGGAAATAATAAGAAAGTTGGGTTTTAAACATTTGAAAGAGGTATTCGCAGTTTCTCTCGTCCAGTGTCTTATTGGAAGACTTTTCGTAAGTAAACGTTTTAACAAGAACTAGAATGAACAGGTACAGCACATTTTAGACGATGTTAAGCAATATTTCGTTTTCTAATAACAGTAATCTATCTTGAAACTGGCAGATTATTTCTTTAAACCTCTACCTCAATAAGTGTTAGTTCACATTATAGTATCCGGAATTTGCTTGATTGTTTGATATATTGATTGTTTGACTGATTAATGACTGACTGACTGATTGATTGTTTGTTTGTTTAGTTGGTAGGTTGATTGATTGATTGATTGATTGAATTCCCATGTTGCTCTTTGGGCCGTTTATTGTGGCGTGCGTGTTTCAGTATGGCTACGTATTCCAAAGGCGTCATACATGAGTGAATAAACAAATTAAGAAATAAAAGAAGGAACACATGAATGAATGAATGAATAAATGAGTAACTAATAAATTAATAAAAAAGGAGCAGACAGTAAGTTAATGATTATTCTGTGGTATTGTTCTCACAGGAATGGACTGTTTCTGAGTTACCTTTTAGCTGTTTCCAAACGGGCTTAGCATTAAACTGCACATCACCGCAATTTTGTTTCCTTTTTAATTCAAGTTCATTTTCAAATAAAAGGTATTGCTGATGTGCTCACCTTGAAACACAAGTGAAAGTCAGCTCAGAAATTGCGCCATGGGGCTGTTTGAACCAAAAAACTTTTCTAAGTACCATATAAAAATGAAAGTTCATTTCTAGATCCTAGACTGGTCCACTCGAAGTACGTCTGTGAGCGTAACGTTATACACTTGGTCTGCAGCCCAACAACTGTTCTTGAGATTCAAGCGGCAGACTTCGGCGAGTCCGCCGCTCTCATCTGTGGAAAAAGCGAAGAATCAAATCAGTTATGCAGACTGTTAGAAAAAACAGAAATAGTAAAGACGAGGTGTGATAACAAACCACAATGTTACATCTCGGCATTGCGTTCCATATTTGGTGATCCTTGTCTGGGGTTAAACAAGCAGACGGATACGTCAATCTATCTTAACGTCATTTACGCATGTGGTAAGTTCCCTTTTTCAGGGAGAGACTTGGCAAAGTTCTTACTAGGTGGTAAATAGAAGTAACATCGCAAACAGAATATAGCATGATATGAAGCTGTATGACGAAGAAAGAATACATAGCATATTCTCTTTTATGGCTATCTCAGGAACAGACAGCCTAAGAACACTGCAAGCTTAAATTGCTTCTGGCTGGTTTGAGCAAAAGATGATGAGAGGCGGTGTGCCATCCTCTTGTTGAACTTCATTTTGATGCGTTTATGCATTTTTTTCATTAAGTTACTTCTACACAGGAGTAATTCGATTCTCCTTATTCCATCCGAATTCCATTTTGTTTCGCTTCATTCTAATTTCTTTTTGTTCATTTCTTTCAGGAGCTATTTGTTTAGAACTCCTTTGGCTTTAAAATTATCTCATGTTATCGTGTTTGTTTCCGAACCAAGTTCAAAATTTTCTCCTATTTAGATTTGGTAGAATTCTACTAGTATGCTAATGAAATGCTGCAATCTGATTGGCTGAACTACTCGTAAACAATCAGCCATTCCTGAGAAGACTAAAAGAACGACATTAAACGGTTTCTTGACTTTAAAAACTTGAAATTATACAAAGAAAACAGGTGCGCGCGTAATTACTGCAAATTTCCAATGAAAATTAAATCCGCGCGATTTTGTTAAAGGGCAAAGCTTATTAATGCCTAGCAAAATAATTAGAAACCGCTATTAGCGNAACAATTAGATTATTCGCTGATAATTGATTCGGCCTTCGGCCTCATCAACTATCACCTCGTATAGTTCACCACTAAATTTTCTCCGATTCTTATTGGCTTAACTTGATCACGTGGTGCAATAATGTTCGTCCGCGGAGAGACACTACCAGACCATAGTGGCCGTCCGCGGAAAATACCCGGATGTATAGAACTCGTCCGTGAAAAATTTTCTGTAAACAAACGGGTTTGTAGAAAATAAACAGTTGAAATTGTATTAAGTGGGTTTTTGTCTGTTTTCTTTTATCAAATTTTACATCTGGCTGTCACGGCTTTCATCAGGGAAGAAAATTTAGTGGTGAGCAATAAAGACAATAGACAGTTTATGTCTCGGAACTATCGGTCTGATAGTTGCCCCTTGGAAATTTGATGTTCTTAAAACTAGTATATTTGTCCTCGAAGCTTCGCTTCTCTGGCAAATATTTGTATTAAGAACATCAAATTTCCGCGGGGCAACTATCACCCGATAGTTCCTCGACAGAAGCACTCTATTGTTTAAATAGAAATCTCAAGCGAATGATCTAATTGTTAATTAGACCATCCAGTAACGTTTTATTATAAATCACTTTAAAATGCAGGGCTTATGTCAACACCCTCTGCAATTCAAAGCGTATATACCTTTTCAGTTTTTAATGCACTTATTTCCCAAATTCACTTTAGTGAAAGCAGCTAACTCTGCGAGATCTACTGAGATAACACCAACGCAACCATCAACTTCATCAACTGGCATCTCCATCACCGAAGATAACGCCACTATCAACACCAGTCTTAACACAACAGTAAACACCACTCAACCAAAGTCTACGGGACCGACAAAGAAGACAAAGAAGACGGTTCCCAACATCCCATCAAAACAAGAGGGCCCCAAGACACAAAAGGAAATACCAGTGTTTGATCCAGCAAAAAGCGTTGACCTGGACGTTATTTCTGGTACAGCCAGTGGGATGAGGTCTACTGTTGTGGGATTTCTCATTTGGAGTTGCATTGTTAGTATGATCTCGAACTAACAGTGTTTGGGGGTGCTGTGCGCGCGGTTATTTCGATACGTTGTTGAAGAACGGCACGGCTCAAGTTTAGGCAATTTCAGTCTACTTTTTGCTACTCAAAACTTCTCTAAACTTGTTTTCGTAATATCTGCAGCCGTTGCATTCATTATACTTACAGCAACGGCGTTTCGCCTAAATGTTATTATATGTAATTAATTACAGATATCTTAATTAGTGCTATAACATCTTTTTGACAAAATATTTAACTTGAGAACATAACTGTAAAATTTTTAAGCATACGACAGGTTTACGAAATTTAAGTAAGCCTGAATTGTTGAAGTCCCCAACGAATACGCCCGATTTTGAAAAATTTGGCTTAAAAAAGTACATAGAAAGAGAACTAATTGATGATCAACGTCCAGGTTACGCAAACATCTTGCCAGCTGAAAGTGATTCTTCTTGTATTTTCGATTCCTTCTCTTTGATTATTGTCGGGATTCTGATTTAAGGTATCTATCAGTAGACAAAAAGCTCTTTTTCTTACTACAAAGTGCCGCCACCATTGAACGGGGTTATTGTAGAGAACCGTAGAAGCTTTAGTATGCATGATTTCACGACTGTTAAGGAGGTCAAACTGACCCATTATCTGAGTTCTGAGGTTAAAAAAAACACAATAATAGATGAAATCTCTTCTTGCCACCGAAAAATCTGCAAAGCCTAGATGTGCTGGATAACGTGCTAATATTACTGTTGGTCTTAATGGTATCAAACATACTTGATTTGCAGCCAATGGGTGTAAAGCATCTGTGTGGTAGGTCGAGGGAATAATAAATGTAAGAAGCTCTAAAGCATGAGTAGAATTAATATACGCTTA